CGCACGCACGAAGAGACGGGACATTTTGGTGTTCGTCGCACCTTGGCACTTTTGCTTACCCAGCACTGGTGGCATGGTATGCATCGCGACGTTTCCACTGTTGTACGGCACTGCGAGTCTTGTGACCGCGTCAACACCTCATTTACATCTCCTTCCCCTGTTCTTAATCCTTTGCCTGTTCAAGGGATGTTCTATCGTTGGGGAGTTGATCTGTGTGGTCCATTTGCCAAAACCACAGCTGGGAATACGTACGTCATGATTTGTATTGAACATTTCTCCAAATACGCGGTTTTCATTCCTTTGCCTGATAAGGAGGCAGAGCACACCGCATTTGCATTTTTACATCATGTGCTAGGTCGCTATGGTTCCTGTGCTGAGGTCTGTTCGGACCAGGGAAGCGAATGGAAGGGGCCTTTTGCACAACTTTTGATAGATTGCCTCATTGACCATCGTCAAACTTCACCGAGTCACCCACAAGCTAACGGACTTGCCGAGCGTGCGGTTCAAACTTGCAAGCGCGCTTTACGTCGCATGTCTCAGCAGAGGAGTGCAGGTGCCAACTGGGATCAGCAGCTGCCTTACATCATGTTGGGTTACAACTGTTCGAAGCAGCAGTCTACTGGTTTCAGTCCATACAGTTTGCTCCACGGAGTTCAGCCCACTATACCACCCGCGGTGAAGCAGCGCTTTGAGGAGTACATCTCCTTCGATTCGCGGGAGGAGGCTTCTGATGCTCTTCTTAAGCGTGGCGAGGCTATGCGTCGTAACATGAGTATTGCAGGGGAAAATTTACTTATCGCCCAGCATAGGGATACGTTACGCTATGCCGCTTTGCGTGGTGGGGGTAACCATCCTAGGTTGCGCAGGTTTGATGTGGGGGATTATGTTTATTATCGTAATACTAGTTCACGTACGGCGTTAGACCATAAGGTTCAACCTGCTGTACTTCGCGTTAGTGAGGTGCGTCCCAGCGGCGTACTTGTTCTGCAAGGTCAAGACGGTCAAACCATGCAAACGCATGTGATGCACTGTGCACCTTGTCATTTGCCTATTTTAGACGAGGTTGTCGATCCTCGCTTGTCCCGACCTCATGCTAATTTGTCTTGTGAGGTTTGCAAAATGCCTGAT